CTGCGGTGGCGATGGGCACAGTCATCCTCTTAGGTGGTGTTGGTTTGTATGGCGCGTCGACGTTGCCGTCGCGCGAAGGCGGAATCCGCTTGCGGGCTGGCTAGTTGGATACTTGTTGAAAAGTCGGCACTGGGTTGAACTGATTGGTTCTTGGGCCGGCCCTCCTATCGTCGGCCAGTTGGACTGTCATGGCGGGGGCACCAGCGTTGTCTTGCCGCGGCGGCGGGTCCTTCCATTGGTGGGCCCGCTCAACTAGCAACGGGTGAGCCAGCGAGCTGTTGGGGTCGGGTGGGTTGGCGCGGCTTTGCGCGTCGCCTGGTGTCGGACGACTGTGGTGAGTCGAAGAAGGTGCCGACGGGGCATGATCTGGTGCGTCGTCGATCGCCATGGCGAAGTCATTGATGCCCTGCTAGATGCGGCTCACTTCTGCATCAGGCTCACACTACGTTGGCGACGGCGTCGCGACGTAGGGCTTCGCTTCTGCCGGTTCGGTCGCAGGAGACACCGCCGTCTGGATCTCTGAGATGATCCCGGCGATGCCTTCCGCGCGCAGCAAGCTGTCACGCCGGTGAAGAAACATGATGTATTGGATTGAAGCCTCGATCTCGCGCTTCCTGTAAAGATTGCCCAGTGGCTCGTCTGTAATCATGCCCGCCGTGGATCTTTATAGCGTCGAGTGGCGCCTCGTAGAATCCGTCGCTGTCGTCGCGCATGGTCACCTGCTCGTCCATGGCGGGATGGCCGATGTATACTGATCGGGAATGTGGCGACGGCATCCTTTCTGTCGGCAGTGGTGGAGGAGCCCCAATAAGCGCTGCGCGAGAAGCGAGTTTTGGACCGTGGACCCCTGCTGGTTGTCGAAGACCTCGTCGTTGGTCCTCGAAACGCCCCTCTTCGGGCCGGGCATGAGTGCGTAGTTGCTGGGGTCTGTCCAGGATAACGATGGTCTCGGCACGTGGGCACGGTTTGAAAAAAACGCTTCGGAATTCATCGGGGCAGACGCAGACGATCCACGAGCGTGCGCACGCAAGTTGGCGCGCCGGGTTGAGCGGCGAGCCTGGGCGGGCGCCCAGCCCCCGCAGCTTCGCTGCTATGTCGTCTGGGATCCACCTTCGACGGTCTGGCGGGCATGCTGGTGGCGACGGGGCGGCTGGCGGCGGGAGATCACAATGAGCTCGGGGCTGCGGCGCTGGGTCGATGGCGAAGCGTCCGTTTCGAGGCGCCTGGGTTGGGGCTGTGCTTCGCGGGCGGTGGGCATGGTCGGTCTCGCTGGGCCATATGGTTTCCTGCGGCCGCCTAAGGCATGATCTCGATGGACATTCTGCACGGTGCGAACCCCGCGAGGTGCGCCAGTGCATCGTGGTCGTCCTTGATGCGGCTGCAGTCATCGCTCAACGAGGCCGCGAGGGCCTCGGGCGCCGCCTTTCGAAAGTCACCGTCGAGATGCGACACGAGGTTGTCGATGTCCGCCGTCGCGGGGATACTTCCAGGGTCGATCCAGTGAGGCGCTCCCCGTCGTAGTGGCCGTCGCATTGTGGACACCTCGACTTGGGCGATGTCAGTTGGTTGGGCTGGTCGCGCATGGCCCTGGCCCCGCGGGTGGCCAGCGCGTCTGTTAGGCAGGGCAGTGGCGGAAGTGCCTCGCTGCGCTCCGTGGCATTGCTGAACCCGTTGGTGGCGCGCGGGATGTTGCCCTCGCTTTCGCATGCGATTTGGATCTGGGTCTTAGTGTGGATAGCCCTCCGCTCTGCGTCCTCGAAGCTGGCCTTCGCGTGGACTTGCGCGGGCATAATGCCGTGGATATGATGGGCGCCCGCGCGCTCCTGCCCGTTGGGGCCTGCGCTGGGCGGGTCGAGGTAGACCAAGTCAGTCTCGGCCATCAGCTCGACTCTCTCCCGCGGTGGCGCTGCGATGAGCGCCCGCCTTTGGCGATGCCCGCGCGGACGCCGTCGCAGTTGAATTTGTGCCGAGTCGCTGTGGGGCGGCGAGGCGCGAGAGCTGGCCGCGGTGACCAGTGGCCTGCAGGATAGTCGGCGCAGGGTGCAGCGCGGTTCCTGGTGCAAAAATTGCGGAGCGCGTCGGGCGCCGGCGCGGGTCCCTGTCTTCCTGCGGTCGGCGGTTGCTCCCGCGCGCGCAGAAGTGCAGCGGTGGCCGCATCGGGTCCTCATCCATTCCCGAATGGCGTTGGCAGGTGCGAAGACAGGTCCCGCCTCCAGCGCTGCGAAAGCACACTCCTGGGTGAATTGTGCTGAACCGACGTTGCGCTACCGCGCGTCGGGCGCCCCTCCGGCTGCCGCTGCGAAAGATGGGTCGAGCCTCGTATTTGCAAGCGGCCCGTCCTTCGAGAGGTCGTTGACAATGCAGGCCTCGTGATTGGTCTTGCTGTCCTCTTTCCCGCGCTTCTCCAGTTGCGATGCGCGCTGGGCATTCTGCGCGCCCAGGTCTGTCACCCCGCGTGATCTTGACCTCGGCGTGGCGCCCAGACGCGGTTATCGGTGGCTTGTTGAACGCCCGGTACTCGACTCTCGCGTCGCATGGGCTTTTGGAATCCGTCAGCTCCCCCCCAAATTGGAGACCAGCTGGAGGCCCCATCGCAATTCGATGCGCAGGTGTCGCCGAGGCGCGCGACCTTGCCAGGCGGACGTGGACATTCCTCAACTCCTTGAACAAGATGGGCGCAGTGAAGAGCATGATGATGGAGCCACTACTCTGCATTGGGATATGCTGGTATGATCTCTGTTAGTTTGTCAGTACTGCGCCATGCTGAACAGCTGGGGGGTAGCCGATCTCTCAGGTGAGGCGGCGCGCGGGAACCTCTGGCTGATGTGGCTCAAATTGTGGTTCGAGGTATCACTTGCCAAGTGTCCCCTAGTGACGGCGTGCTGCGCCAGGTCGTGCCAGCCATTCCGCCGCGTAAATTGCATTCAATGTCCGCCGTGGCTTGTGCTGTGTTTTCATTCCGCGTCGTCCGATGTTTCGTTCGCCTTGATGCTCTGCCACTTGCCACCCAGTGCAAGTAGGCTGGCTGGTGTCCGAGAGATCTAGCACATCATGCGCTGGCCGAAGACTGCTAGGCGCACTCCTGGTCGTCGCAATAGATGTTGGATCTCGGGCAGTAGCTGACTGCTCGCAAACTGTCGTCTGTCGTGGGCAGGTTCTAGTTGCTCCATAGTGGCTAGTACTCCAGTTGCGTAGGCCATGAATAGGAGTAGGTCTGTGGTCCTCAGCTGCTAAATACCAACGACGACATGCTCTTTTCTCGCGGTCCGTCCGGTAGTTCAAGCCCCGCTGCTGTCTTCGACAACGTAGCGGTCGTGGTTGCCTCTGGGCGTCAGGTAGGTCCCTCGTTCTGGCTGCGCTCCACGTCTCGTAGTGAGCCACGCTGCCTTCATGCATCTGTTGTATCCGAAAAGACCCTTTCCCAATTGGTGAGGTCGTCGCCTTTGGTGACGTGATTGGCGACGTCGATGAGCAGAACGTGCGTTTGGGTACCGTCTGGTGGTTGCCACTATTGTAGATCTCCTTCACGGCGCTGCCCGCTGTAAACGTGGAGCACGAAAGGGATGCTGGTACCGGTGGGTCGGGGCATCGTCATGTTTCACAAGGAAGGGTCGGCGGGCGGTAGCACGAAAGGCGGTCTCCGATCGTGGGTGGCGTAGAAGTCCTTGCCGAAATCTGGCGGGATGTCGGTTGTGTAGCGCGCGAGGTCGGCGTAGTCGGCTGGCCTTCCTGCTTTTATGTGTTCTCCTTGTGTGTCTGGCGCGGTCTGTATGTTCTCCTCTGTGGCCTCGTCAGGCACTTGTGGGGATTGTTTCGCCCATGGTATTGCGCAGGACGGTGTCGCCTGTAGATGATTATTTAATGGGGCACACGTAGTTGTGGTACTCCCGACTTCAAACAGTATGCAACGTGTTCCCTGTGTGCATCGGCTTGGGTGTGTTCCGCTCTTGCGGTGCTTGCATAAAGGGGGCGTAGCAGGCATTCGCCTTGAAGAACAAGGCACCGCTCTGGTAGCATATGGGTTGGGGTTTCGGTGGTGGTGGCGGCATAGTCGGTAAAGCAGGCATCTCCTCAGAGTTCTGGTAGAGCTCGAGCTCGTGGTGCCATGGCTCCTGGTGTGTTCGATCCTGTTGCCGCTGGGGGTATCTGGCGATTGCCTGATTCGCTGTTGCTCTGAATCGTTGGTGGTCGTCGCGGACTGCTGGTACAAGTTCGCTGAAATGGGTGCTGGTCGTCGGTGTTTCCTCCTGGTTGAGGTGGTCGTGGAGCCATTGGATGTCGTGGGAAACCTTGGCAGTCTGGCTTTTGCTGTGTGTTGCGTCTTCGCTCAGGAGCCTTCGTATGATGGTTGGCCCATGTAAGATCAACCTCGGCAAGTACAGAAACCTGCTGGGTCTTCATGAGATTTCCAGAGGTAGTCGGTTAGCATGGGCGAGGACCTGGAGATTTGGACGAGTGCTTGTTTTGGTTGTGTTTGGCGTGGTGCCCAATCGCCTACCAGTATCCTCCGTCACCACCGCCGCCACCAACTCCTCCACCTCCGCTTCCACCTCCTCCTCCTCCTCCTCCTCCTCCTCCTCCTCTTCCTCCTCTTCCTATGCCCCCTAATCATTCTCAGAATGCACCGAATGCGTTTCTGTCCACCTCCTTCCGCCTCCTCCCGCTCCTCCTCCTCCTCCTCCTCCTCCTCCTCCTCCTTCTCCTCCTCCTCCTCCTCCGCCCCCCCTCATCATCCTCATAATGCACCTGATGCGTTTCTGTCCACCTCCTTCCTATCCTGCCTCCTCCTCCTCTTCCTATGCCCCCCCTCATCATCCTCATAATGCACCTGATGCGTTTCTGTCCACCTCCTTCCGCCTCCTCCCGCTCCTCCTCCTCCTCCTCCTCCTCCTCCTCCTCCTCCTCCTCCTCCTCCTCCTCCTCCCTCCTCCTCCTCCTCCTCCTCCTCCTCCTCCTCCCCCTCCTCCGCCGCTTCCTCCCCCTCAGGGGTAGGAGACGACTTCCTCTGCCCGAGCTTGATGAACTTCACGAGGTCTTGCCCCTCCTTGTACTCTAAGCGGGCACCCGACCTGGCTGGCACGGCAGGCTGCGGGGGGCAGGAGGGATTGGCAATTCACGTACGTGATCGGCGATCGACCGCTTGTTACCCCGCAGCCCTCGGCGGTCTTCGGCGGGCTCCAGCGGCGTCCGGCGCTATTCAACGGTGCTCCGCGAGCTCAGCCCGCCCTTTGCGGAGTGTGCATTCGACGCGGGCGCCATGCTCGAACACCCGATGAAATCGCGGGGACGACAGGGGAGAGGTGAGGAGTAAGCAGGGCAGGCGGGGATACGGGGGCGGAGGGAAGAAGTGGAGCGTCTCGTCTCGAAGTCAGCGGGGGAAGCCATCTGGGCCTTGATTTACGCACGTACGGTGGCGACGCCCGAATCGGTAGCCTCGTGACCCAGGGGGAAGGGATTCAGGGGGAGCGAGGGGAACGGGCGAATGCATTCTGCGGGGAGCTAGGTGGGAACCCCAGAGGGAACTGGCGACATGAGTTCGCGCTTCCGCCCAAAAATACCCGAGACGTACCTATCACCTTCTCCACGCGAGGCGAATATTTGCATGAACGCTCCACACGAGAAAAAAACATTGCCAACTATACACGTTCTGCGCTGCCCCCATCCCCGCCGTGCCTTCCAGGAGCCCACGAAAGTGGCGACAATTGCGCATTTCATAGCCTCCCAGGGAGCCACGAGGTCTCGGCTGGATCCGCGTGGCCCCCGACCCCGCTGGACCTCCCACGAGCCCGCGAAAGTGGCGGCAGTTGCGCAGTTCGGAGCAGCAGCGAGGTCTCAAATGGGCGCGCGTGGCCCCCGGCTCCGAAGGACCCCACGAACATGACGACAGCGTCGCAGCTCGCGGCGCCCCAGGGAGCCGCGAAGTTTAGTCGGGGTGCGCGTATGACACCACTCCGCCGGACCTCCCAGGAGCATGCGGAAGTGGCGACAGCTTCGCAGCCCACGACTATGACGACGTCTTTGCCGTTCGCAGCCCCCCAGGGAGCCGCGAGGTGTAGTCTGGATGTGCGTACGACACTACCCCGCTGGACATCCCAGGAGCCCACGGAAGTGGTGACACTTTCGCAGTTCGAGGCCCCCGAGGGAACCGCAGGGTCCAGTCTGGGTGTGCGCATGACACCGTTCCGTTGGACCTCCCAGGAGCCCACGAAAGTGGTGACAGTTGGGAAGTTCGCAGCCTCCCATGGAGCAGCGCAGGAGCAGAAGGAGAGGAGGAGAAGGAGGAGGAGGAGGAGGAGGAGGAAGAGGAGGGGGAGGAGGAGGAACAGGAGGAGAAAGGAGGTGGAGACCACATAGCTCGATTCAGAAAGGGAACCCAACACAGGAGGGTCGGGAACACAACGGAAGGACCACCTCTGAGATATGATGCCCATGTCTCTGGGTTCGACTACCCCTCCGCCGAATTCCTGGCGTGCCCTGGGCGGCTAGCTGCAGTCAAGGTTGACGACACGATTCGCCCAGCGGAAGCGGGAGCAGGGGCGGAGGAGGAGGAGGAGGAGGAGGAGGAGGAGGAGGAGGAGGAGGAGGAGGAGGAGGAGGAGGAGGAGGAGGAGGAGGGAGGAGGAGGAGGAGGAGCGGGGGGAGGGAAGGTAAGGGGGATTGGGACGAGGAGGTAGGGAGGGAGGAAAGGAAGGAGGGAGGGATGAGGGAGGAGGATGAGGGAGGGAAAAGTGAAGCGAGGCAAGGGCTGAAGCGGGGGATGGAACTGCGAGCGCCGATCAGAGACCCGCTCAGGCCTCCCTCCGTCCCCCCTTGGAGCAGGCGCCCAGTGAGCCGGGCCGCTCCTCTTCCCCGTGGCATCCGTCCTCCAGCTCTCATATTGTTCTGCCTGCTGCTCCTGCTATCATTATTTGTACCAGCGTTACCATCATCATCAACATCATCATCATCAACATCATCATCACCACCACCATCGTCATCAACATCAACGTCATCATCATCATCAGCATCATCACCATCATCAACATCATCGTCATCGTCATCATGATCATCGTTGTCATCATCGCCATCATCATCATCATCATCATCATCATCATCATCATCATCATCATCATCATCATCATCATCATCATCATCAGCATCATCATCATCATCATCATCATCATCATCATCATCATCGTCATCGTCTGGTCCATTCATACCGCATGTTTCCATTTCTCTCATTCTGGGGTACGCCAAGCGCGCCAGGTGTGCCGTGGCGGGCCGTAGTCGAGTCCTCGGTTGTGCGCCGACTTAGCCAAGCGCACCCGATGTGCTCATCACGCGCACGCGCATACATGTAGGTACACACGATTGCACAACAAGCGCGCATATCTACAAATATCCGAGTGAGGGGCCGAACGGTCATTCACTGTCCCTGGGTGCGTGGATGAGGTGGGCTTCCGCGATGCGGATTCTTGTTGTTGTTGTTGTTTGCTGTTCCGTCTCCCTCGAACCTTATATGTTTTGTTTTATCTCAAGCCTACTTATGGGATGAAGTCAAGAGGTTACCCGGAGTAGCGGATTCACAGAAAACCTCTGAAAACTAAAGCAGTTTGAAGACTCCACAATGGCAAATTGAAAAAAAACAGGTCATGAGTTCATGCTCGTCAATGATGAAAAGGGAACATAAGTTCAGCGGGTATCATCATCATCACCATCATCATCATCATCATCATCATCATCATCATCATCATCATCATCATTATCATCACCAGCATCATCACCATCAGCATCACACCATGATTATAATGAAATAATGTCGATAAACATTCGCGCTAGATTGACACCAACGGTATTCAACATACATAGTTAGCACATCGTAGTGAAGGGCTGAATGGTCCCACACCGTCCCTGGGTGCGCGACTGAAGTGCGGTTCCAATGGGCAGACTCCTATTGTTAATGCTGTTTCTTGCCATCGTCCCGCCCGCGACCCACCCCGCGACCCTCACGCGATCCACCCGCGACCCGTCCCACAACCCGTCCCGCGATTCGCCCGCGAACCGCGCCGCGACCAACTTGCGACCCACTCGCGAGCCACCCCGCGACCCTCCCGCGATCCACTCGCGACCCGTCCCGCGACCCACCCCGTGACTCGCCCGCGAACAGCGCCACGACCAACTTGCGACCCACTCGCGATCCACCTAGCGACCCATCCGCGACCCGAATTGCCCCGCGGCTCCCCGAGAACCGTCGCGAAGGGTTGATCGGGGGGGGGGGCTGGGGGAGGGGGGTTATCATCTCACAACACGACCTCATATTACTCGATGACGCAAAAGCATAGCAAAATCAACTATTGGGCGGCGAGCGATTGCATCGACTTGTGGGAGCGACTTCTCCTGTTATTAATTCGATAACACCCGTTTGCGCCCACCTGATGGAGGAGCGTTACTATGATGGAATGCATTCGTCTTGCGCTCCAGCGTGTTTTTTTCTGCTCCACCCCCCCTGCGGGTAACTGGTCACGGCCATCGCGGTCACGATCGTTATCGTCCCCATTGCCGTTAACTCGCTTCGAAAACGCCGCCATAAAATGCGACCAGGTTTTCGAGACACTCCCCACGCGATGATGGCGATTACGACGATGTTAAAAACAATGGGAACGATAACGATCGTGACCGCGATGGCCGCGACCAATTACCCGCAGGGGGGGCGGAGCAAAAAAAACGCTGGAGCGCAAGACGAACACATTCCATCATAGTAACGCTCCTCCATCAGGTAGGCGCAAGCGGGTGTTATGGAATTAGTAACGGGAGCAGTCGCTCTCACAAGCCCATGCAATCCCTCGCCTCCCCACAGTTGATTTTTCCATGCTTCTGCGTCATCGAATACCCCCCTCCGATCAACCGCTCGCGACGGTTCTCGGGGGGCCGCGGTACAATTCGGGTCGCGGGTGGGACGCGGGTGGGACGCGGCTGGGTCGCTAGGTGGGTCGCGAGTAGGTCGCAAGTTGGTCAAGGCGCTATTCGCGGGCGAGTCGCAGGGTGGGTAGCAGGACGGGTCGTGGGTGGATCGAGGGAGGGTCGCGGGGTGGGTCGCGAGTGCGTCGCAAGTTGGTCGCGGCGCGGTTCGTGGGCGAGTCGCGGGACGGGTCGCGGGACGGGTCGCCGGTGGATCGCGGGAGGGTCGCGGGGTGGGTCGCGGGCGGGACGATGGCAAGAAACAACATTAGCAATAGGAGTCTGCCTAGTTGAACCGCACTTCAGTCGCGCACCCAGGGACGGTGTGGGACCATTAAGCCCTTCACTACGATGTGCTAACTATGTACGTTGAATACCGTTGGTGTCAATCTAGCGCGAATGTTTAACGACATTATTCTAATCATGGTGTGATGCTGATGGTGATGATGATGATGATGATGATGATGATGATGATGATACCCGCTGAACTTATGTTCCCTTTTCATCATTGACGAGCATGAACCCATGCCCTGTTTTTTCAATTTGCCATTATGGAGTCTTCAAACTGCTTGAGTTTTCAAAAGGATTTCTGTGGATGCGCTACTCTGGGTACCCTTGACGTCATCCCATACATAGGCTTGACAATAACCAAGAAAAACATAAGGCTCGAGGGAGAAGAAACAGCAAGGAAAAAACACCCCAAGCAGCAACAAACATTTTTAAGACTGTTCGCTCCTGCTCACGTGCCAATCAATACGTGTATCCCAAGCCCTCGGTACCCGCCCTCGTCGTCTTCGATCGTACCCCCCTGGGGGTATATCTTCCTTACCTGCAACGTGTGGAAGAGAGGACGGGTGGAAGGGGGAGAGAGAAGAATGGAGCACGAGAGAAATTAGCAGGAGGAGGGCAAGGAGCAGAAAACAAGAGGTAGAACCAGATGGGCAGACCGGGTGGGCAGACCCATAGCGGGCAGGTCGGGAAGGCGGGCCCAGGCGACGAGGTCGAGCAGGCGGGTTGCTGAAGCGTGGGTCCTGCATGAATCGCGAGGAAGTCTCGAGCGATATCGCGAGTCCCAAGTAAATCGTGAGAAAAGCCAGCGTGGGCCACGAAGGGCATAAAATCCGAGGCCTCAGAGTGCAGCGACGGGGCCGCTGAGGGCAGCACCGTGGCCACGAAGGGCAGCGAGGGGGCCACAAAGGGCGACAGCGGGGCCACGAAGGGCATGCATATGGGGCCACGACCGGCACGAGCGAGCGGGGGCCACGAAGGGCATGCGTATACGGGGCCACAAAGGGCGACAGCGGGGCCACTGAGGGCAGCAAAGGGGCCACGAAGGGCAGCGAGGGGGCCACGAAGGGCGACAGCGGGGCTACGCAGGGCATGCGTATAGGGCCACGACGGGCGCGTGCGAGCGGGGGCCACGAAGAGCATATAACGCGGGGCCACAAAGGGTGTCGACGGGGCCACTGAGGGCAGCAATGGGGCCACGAAGGGCAGCGAGCGAAAAGCGACCGCGGAACCAGTACGGGCAGCGAAGGGCGACTGCAGTCATTATATAACGGGCTGGTCGAGCGGGCAGGCCCCGACGGGCGGGTCGAGCGGGCGGGTCGTTGAAGCGTGAGTCCTACTTGAACCGCCAGGCAATATGTAGCGGGAGCGCGATTCCTGAGTGTCGAAGACCGGCATCTGAATAAATTGAAGAAATATCAAGCGAAGCGGTTCGGTGGTAAGTTGCGAGGAAGTCCCAAGCGAGAACGCGATCCTGCAATAAGTTGTCAGGGAATATCAGGCAGGGGCCGCGATTCGGTGGTAATTTGCAAGGAAGTCCCAAGCGAGAGCGCGATTCTTCAACCAATTGTGAGGAAGTGTCAGGCGGGAGCCGTTGTGTTTGTAAACCTGGGGCCCACAACACAGTTTGACCTTCAAGACTTTCCCTGATGAAAGCCAGGGTGCGAGCCCCGGGAGGGGCACTTCAACAGAAAAAAAAACAATGTGGACCAGGCGGGGGGGATCAACAACAATTATCCTTCAGAAAGGAAAGTTCAACAACAACAACAATAACACGCATCGCGCAGGCCCACTTCAGCCACACATCCAGGGACAGTGAATGACCGTTCGGCCCCTCACTCTGATATATGTAGATACGCGCGCTTGTTGTGCAATCGTGTGTGCCTACATATATGCGCGTGCGCGTGATGAGCACATCGGGTGCGCTTGGCTAAGTCGGCGCACAACCGAGGACTCGACTACGGCTCGCCACGGCGCACCTGGCGCGCTTGGCGCGCCCCAGAGTGAGGGAATTGAGCAATTGCGTTATGCATGGACCAGTCATCATTAGCATCATCATCACCATCCTCATTGTGATGATGATCATCATATCATCATACTCAGCATCGTCATCATCACCATAGTCAACGTTGACACAATCATTACTATCGTCATCGTAGTCGTCGTCGTCCTCGTCGACGTCGTCTCCAGCATCATCATCACCACAAGTATCACGATCATCATCATCATCATCATCATCATCATCATCATCATCATCATCATCATCGTCATCATCATCATCATCATCATCTTCATCATCATCATCAGTATCATCATTGCCATCGCCACCATCATCAGAAGCAGCAGCACCACCACCACCATCATCATCTCAGTCCTCACCACGAGCCTCCCCACCATCTCATCGTCATCAACATGACCCTCACCATCACCATCACCATCACCATGGCCGTCATCATCATCGTCATCATCACCAGCATCATCGTCATCGTCATCGTCATCATCATTATCATCCTCGTCCTCATCCTCCTCCTCATCATCAACATTATCATCGTCATCCCCACCATCATCATCATCAACATCATCAGCAGCACCCCCACCATCATCATCACAATCCTCACCATCAGCATCACCACAATCTCATCTTTACCACCATCACCATAATCATCAACATCACCACCACCATGACCTTCATCACCATCATCAGCAACATCATCATCATTCTCAGCATCACCATCATCATCCGCATCCTCCTCCTCCTCATCATCATCATTGCCATCACCACCATCATCATCATCATCATCAGCAGCAGCACCATCACCATCATTGTCGCAATCCTCACCACCAACATCACCACCATCTCATCGTCATCACCCTCACCCTCACCATCACCATCACCATGACCGTCATCATCATCGTCGTCGTCATCATCATCATCGTCATCGTCACCGCATCGCCATCGCCATAGCTGTCGCATTGACTAAGTCGCGCTCATGTTGAAATCACCGCGTACGCACCACCATCACCACCACGTACCAATTGCCACACCCGCGAACTACCACACACGTGCAACACACCGCGGGTGCACGACACTACATTTTTAGACCACCCGTGGAGACACCTCATGGTTGGGCGTTTGTGGCGTATGGAACGGGAGTGCTGAACTACACCACACGACAACTGCACAGGCACCGTCGCGTCCCCACAACCAGCCGCTGAGCTGAACTCTCAGAAAGGGTGGAGGTCTCATGGAGATCACATCGTCCATCATGAACACCCCAATGTCCAGCACTGCGTCCGTAAAGTGATGTGAAAGGTAAGCAAGACAAGGACACACAGGGCCGCTGCGTCACACGAGTACTGGACGTTCGCCAATTCACCTCGCTTCGATTGGTTTGCTTGATAGGCAGACATGGGTTTGGATTCTACTTCTGCGAGTGTCGACAGCAAGGAACCAAGTCCCAGCCTGAGCCTGGGCCCGCAGAGCAAGCAGCGCCATGCAAGGACATCGCTCCCGGGAATGTGGAGTCTGCGATTTTTCCCCCTTCTCCCCGACCAGAAGATGTCCAAACAACAACCGGAGACGCCAGGGGACGCCTGGGACCCTCCGTGCAGGCTTGGCGCCCCCTGAGACCGAGCCTTTCGTGTGCAGGCTTTCTCATGGACCCGGGATCCCTCCTCCATGCAGTAGCAGCGTCGCGGCGCGCCGTCCTCTGCGTGCCAGCCCTCCCTGCACCCTCCCGGCGCTCGACTCTGCAGGCCCAGGACTGGTACTTCGTGATGAAACTGCTGATGAAGCTGACGTCGTGCTTCGCCGGGTCGGGAATGTTCTCTCCAAAAGCCTCGCAGTAGGCATACCACTGCTCCTGCGTGGATCACTGGAAGCGCCCCCCCCTCCCCTCCAAAACTATCCTGGAGAAAGACCCAACCATATGTAATTGTGAGTGACGCGTTGTAGGTGCCGCTTCTGGTGGGCCACGCAACGCGTGACGTCGCGTGCGGTAATGGGTGGGGGGACGCATGCGGGCGGTCCCACTGGGGCCTTCGGTGGAGCTCCCCGTGGAGCCACGAAGCGCTGTACTGGGCGTGGCGGACGCATGGGGGCACCCCCACTGAGGGGGCCACGAAACGTGTGAGGGGTGTGGCAGACGCATGTGGGCACCCCCACTGGGGCCTTTGGTGGAGCCTATGGGGTCACGAAACGTGTGAGGGGTGTGCTGAAACGGGTGATGACGATGATGAAAGAGGAGGAGAGGAGAGAGGAGGAACGCGGGGACCGTCGCTTCAAAACGAAGACCCAACACCACAGGATGGTTGGGATACAACATGCCGGAAGCAAGGATCGTGGCGCATGACAGAAGGCAGAGAACCGTGCTGCCCTGCTTGCCGAGTATCTCAGCCAGAAGTCATCAGAAAACACATGCGTGATATCAACGACGCGATGCTTCATATCCAGATAGACTTCAGAGCATGTGGTGGGGATGTGGGGGGCATGGTCCAAGGCAACAGTATAAGCCGGGCGGGTAATCTAAGTCTTATCGTAGCTAGGGTTGGAAGCCTTTCCTACGCCCTGTGTGGAAGGGATGATCGATTGCACCAGACCCAGACGCTACCACTGCAGGGGGCATATAAGGCCACTGCTGACTTGCAGGTGCTGAGCGTGCCTGTCGCACTTCAGGCGTCGCAGTGCAACACGTCTGAAGCCAAAGAGGACCTCCGCCTGTCCGAAGAGAACAAACACCAAGTCACAAAAAACGCCCAATACAAGGACAATGGCACACAATATAATCCAAACACGTTTGCGCTCTTGGAGGTCCCCATTTCACTTACACCGGACTTCGCCGGCCTTCCGCCGGCTTTCGCTGGCGGACGCACCAACGTCATACTCCCGCCGCCTTCCGCCGGCATTCCGCCAGCCTCTGCCGAGGAAGAAAAGTCTATTCCTTCGATGACTCGAAGATGAGAAATGGGATCCTCGAATGGAAAACTCAGGGGGGAATAGACGAGACGTCCCTCCTCGCGTCCTGGGCATGATGTTTGAGCTTCTGGACGAACATCTCAAAACAAAAGAAATACCACTACACTGCGGGCTTAAACGGCGAACCGTGGCAAACACGATTGACGACTACGACACCTCTTGGCAAGAACAGTTCATAAGGGAACACTAAGCTGTGTGCCCGAAATCTGCGGACTCACAAGTGCAACTGCGAAAACATACACATAGTGCTTCCATTCGACACCATTTGTCAAGATGTCCGGCCAGCGCAGAATAGCGGGCGCGCAAAGCCAGCGAAAGCGGCCCACCAAGGGTAGCTCTGGCGGAGCGCGGGGAACCGCTCTTGACAAGTCCAGGATGGGGACGGAACGCAGAGGGACGATGCCTAACATCACATGTTGCCCAAAACCGAGAGTAGCCGCTCTTGGGCGTGTCCGTCAAGAGCTGGCAGCACCTGTGGCGACACCGACAGCATATCTGGCTCAAAACGGGCGAGAACTACGATCGGTCATCGTCCCCATTCTTTCCTTCTCAATTTCTGGGGAGACCAGAAGGTACCGATACCGCTGCTCCCCAGACCTCTCCCAGGGTGCGTTCTGATAAGGATTTCGAGGCGGATCCAGCGGTGGCGACGAGTGTCTCCCAGGAGGCCCATAAAAGGGGAAAACGAAGGAAGGGTAGAGGTATGGGTACCCTTTCCTCCTCTGAATTTCGGTCCCCCTGACGCGCAGTGGGCTGGCTGAGCAGAGGCCCCCAGGGGGGAGAGCGTCTACCCCTGCACCACGGGCAACCAGCTGCCCACGCAACCTGCCGCCGGCCACGGGAGGTGCCTGGAGACTGGCTGACTGGACGCCCTGGGACCGACGGAGGGGCGGCGCCAGAAACCTGCTTCAACGACTTCTGGATTTGGCCAGGCACGGAGGAGGAGGAGAATAAGTAGATGGGGAGAGCAGGGGAGGGAAGGAATGGGAAGGGGGAGAAGGAGATGATGAATAACGGGGTGGCGCGAGCGAAGGAGGACGAGCGCCCACAACAGCTGCTGCAGGGCTGCCGAACTGTCACAAGAGATGTCCGACGCCTGCCGCACGTTTGCTCCTGTGGCCCGTGGCCTGCCCAATGGCCGACTCCAGAATCTCTGGGTTGACCCGCATTGGCCACTCTGAGTGGCTTTCCTCGTTTGACTTTCGCTGACCTCCGCCGGCTCCCACCTGCTGCGAGAAGTCAGTCCTTCTTGGAACGCCCTAGAGGGACTCGATGCCCCCGTGGCCGCTGAGGCACCACCGCCGTGGCCTCTGGGCTGGCACCCCTGATTGCCGCCATGGCAGAGCTGTGGCCGCTGCTCTGGTGCCACCTGCGGCCGCCGTGGCACACATGCCCCCCCCCCGGGACCGACGTTGCGCACGTTGCTGATTGCTGGGTGCTGGATGCTTTTCCCACTCGTCCTGTGTGTTGGGTCCTCGTTTTCAGCCCGCAGTGCCGCGGGTCAGCTCTTCTCTCATCCTCCCCCTTCGCTCCTCTTCCTCATCCTCCGCTTTGTCCCCGTAATCAGCATCATCGTCATTGTAACCTGAAGCCTCGTCGTCGTCGTCGTCGTCAACATCTCCATCACCATCAACATCACCTCTGTTTTCGTTATAACTTTCACTATCCTCACAATCGTTTCGGCACATCCCTCACACGTTGCGTGACCACATAAGGAGCTCCACCGAAGGCCCCAGCGGCCGCATCCGCATTTAGGCCCGCCCCATTTCGGCGGGCCACGGCTGGTTTTGCAGACGGCAGGCTTCGCCCAGCTGGTTTCGCCAAGACTGGTTTCGCCGACGCTGGTTTCGCCGACGGCTGGTTTCTCCGACGCGCCCGTCGCCGCCGTCGCCGTTCGTCGTCGTCGCCGTCTTCGTGAGCCGTTGATGTCGTCGTCGTCGTCTTCGTCGTCGTCGTTGTCGTCGACATCGTCGTCGTCGTCGTCGTCGCAGAGGTCGTGGTCGCGGTCGCGGTCGTGGTCGCGGTCGCGGTCGCGGTCGTCGTCGTCGTCGTCGTCGTCGTCGTCGTCGTCGTCGTCGTCGTCGTCGTCATCGTCGCTGTCGTCGTCGTCGTCCTCCGTCGTCGTCGTCGTCGTCGTCGTCGGCGGCGTCGTCGTCGTTGTTGTCGTAATCGTCGTCGTCGTGAAGCGTCGTCGTCGTCGTCATCGCCGTCGTCCTCCGTTGCCGTCCTCCGTCGTCGTCGTTGTCGTCGTCGTCATCGTCGTCGTCGTCGTCGTCGTCCATCGTCCGTCGTCCGTCGTCCTTCGTCCGTCCTCCGTCGTTCGTTGTTTGTCGCTCGTCGTCGCTCGATGGTTCGTTCGTCGTCGTTCGTAATCGTCGTCGTTATCGTTGTCGTCGTCGTCGTCGTCGTCGTCGTCGTCGTTGTGGTCGTCGTTGTGGTCGTTGCCGTGGTTGCGGTCCTGCCCGTTCGCGTGCTGGCAAGCCCGCTCGCTTTAATGTCCAGCGCGCCCGGTAAGGCCCCGCCCGCCGTCCACGTCCGTTAGGGTCCCGCCAGTCCGACCGTTCCGTTCTAAGGTCTCGCCCGCCCGACCCGCCAGTTAGGGTCCCGCCCGTTCGCGTGCTGGCAAGCCCCCCCGCCCGCTGTAATGTCCCTCCTGCCCGATCCGCCCGTTGGGGCCCCGCCCGCCCGACCCGTCTGGGGGGTCGCCCGCCCGATCCCGGGCCCCATACTTTCGCGTGCTGGCAAGCCCACCCGCTTTAATGTCCCTCCTGCCCGATCCGCCCGTTGGGGCCCCACCCGCCCAACCCGCCTGTCAGGGTCCCGCCCGCCCGACACGCCCGGTAGGGTCCCGCCCGTTCGCGTGCTGGCAAGCCCCCCCGCCCGCTGTAATGTCTCTCCTGCCCGATCCGCCCGTTGGGGCCCCACCCGCCCGACCCGCCCGTCAAGGTCCCGCCCGCCCGACCCGCCCTTTAGGGTCCCACCCTCCGGGTCCACCCGTTAGGGTCCAGATCGCCCGACTGTCCCGTCAGGGTCCAGCCCGCCCGACCCGCCCGTTAGAGAGCCTTTTTCAATCGCGGCGATAACGGGCTTCAATGGTTCGCGAGGGGGGCGGGTCGGTTCTCATTTCTGCGAACCTGCGCGCGCGTGCACCCTGCGCTCAAACGCCGAGCGCGGCGCGCGGGGTGCACGCCCCACGTACTGCAGAAAATCCCAAGCCCACAGCTGCCAGCGCCGATGGCTGGCAGGGGGGTACAAAATGATGCGCCCCCCCTCCCGCCGTGGGGGTCCGGCAAAATAAACTGTAGTGCCGGACGTACTACGGCAGAGCTGGGGACGCACTGGGAGGTGGGAGCGTTACGTTAAGGGGGGAGGAAGAGGGCATAACGCACGCTATGGCCCAGAGGGTCAAAAGCACTCTCTTAAACAAGCGCCTGTTCGAGTGCTGGCAAGCCCGCTCGCTCGCTTTAATGTCCCGCCTGCCTGTCGCGCCCTCTAGGGCCTCGCCCGTCCGACCCCCTTTCTAGGGTCCCGCCTCTTCTCGTGCTAGCAAGCCCGCCCGCCTTACTGTCCCGCCCGCCCAACCCGCCCGTTAGACCCCCCCGTCGCGCCCGCCTGGCCGTCCCGATATGGTCCCGCCCGCCCGACCTGCCCATTTCGGGTCCCACCCAACAGAGTCGCCCGCGAGGGTCCCGCCCCTTAGGGCCTCGCTCGACAACGACGACGACGACGACGACGACGACGACGACGACGACGACGACGACGACGACGACGACGACGACGACAAAGGCGGCGGCGGCGACGACGACGACGACAGCAGCAACGACAACGACGACGACGCCGACCAGCGCCATGGCGAAACCGGCAGTCGGCGAAACCAGCCTTGGCGGAACCAGCCGTCGGCGAAACCAGCCCTGGCGAAACCAGCCTCTGGCGAAACCCGCCGCCAGCGAAGCCAGCCGCTGGCGAAACCAGCACTGGCGAAACTAGCCGTCGACGAAACCAGCCCTGGCGAAATCAGCAGCTGGCGAAAACAGCCCAGCGAAACCAGCGCCGGCGAAACTAGTGCCGGCGAAACCAGCCAATGCCCTTCCACATGGTGACCCGCCCCCTTCCAGCACACCACTCACACATTTCGTGACCCAAGTAGGAGCCCCAACGAAGACCACAGTGGCTGCGGCCGCATGGTAACCCGCCGCCCCATTTTGGTACACACCTCACGCTCTTCGTGGCCCCACAGGGAGCTCGACCAGAGGCCCTATTAGCTGCGACCGCATGGTTCAACGTTTCGTGGCCCCATTGGGAGCTCCACCCAAGGGTCCAGTGGCTGCGTCCGCTTGGTGACACCCCCTATCTCGGCACACCCTTATTCGCCCCGCAGCCTCATAAGGAGCTCCAACGACCCATACGGAGCTCCAACGAAGGCCACAGTGGCTGCGGCCGCATGGTGACCCGCCGCCCCACTTCGGCACACCACTCACGCGTTGCGTGGCCCCATAGGAGGCTGCGTCCGCATGGTGACCCGCCCCCTTTCGACGCGTCCCTCACACGTTTTGTGGCCCCATAAGGAGCTTCACGAAGGCCCCTCGCAGTACAGTATTCTAGCGTATTGAGCGGTCCTGCTCATAGTTCGTTTTGAAAAAGGGTTGGGTTCTTCGCCAAGCCTTTTTTGGACGGTGTTTGCTCGGTGCTCGGTTGTGTCCCTGCTGCTCATACTTTCCCCTGTGCAGCCGCGGCACAAGATACACTGCCTACGTACTGTTTCGATTACTACGCTCGGCCGATCGGGGTCCCTCAACAGCTTTTTTCGTCTCGCGAGCGGAAGGTCGCTCGCCGTCTGTCCGTGCATTTGCGCCGCCGCTGTCAAGCGGAGGTGAGAACGGGCGATGACTGGTTCAACGGGGAGTGGGAGGAGGTGCGGGAGCGGAGCCAGAGGGGGAGTGGGGCAGGGAGCCACGGCGGTTGAAGAGGAGGGGGCGCGGGAGAAAGTCGAGGGACGATGGGCACGCCAGGTACACGCACGCCATGTCTGGCATCCGGCCCCTCCCACCCATCACCTCCCGCTGCGCTGCATGAGGGTCTACCCCACGACCGGGGTGTCCCATAGGACGATGACCCCCAAACCGCCCCTATCGTGTGATTTGTAATCAGAAAGAGGGGCGCCTTGTACACTGGAGGGGGAGGTGGCGGATGAGCAGGAGGATGAGCAGGAGGAAGATGAAGAGGAAAAGCAGCAGCAGGAGCAGGATAGGAGGAGGAGGAGGAGGAAAAGGGGGGAGTAGGAGGAGGAGGAGAAGGATGAGAAAGAGGAGGAAGAGGAGGCAGAGCAGTAGCAGGAAGAAGAGGAGGACACGCAGAGAGAGGAGAGGGAAGAGGGGGGAGCAGGAGGAAATGGCAGCAGCAGGAGCAGGACAAGTAGGAGGAGCGGGGGGAGCAGGCACCGGGGGAGGATGCAGCGGAGGGGAAGGAACGGAGAGCGGACGAAGAAATCGCATCCAGAGATCTGGCCTGGGCTGGTGCGAGAGCGCCACTCTGAACTGTGGCTGGTGCTGCAGCGAGACAAAGCGTGCTTGAAGGTCCGAGAGCGTTCCGAGAGAGAGAGAGAGAGAGAGCACAACGTTCAGACATGAGGTCAAGCCAGCATGGTCGCTACAGCGGTAGGATCTTGCACCCGCGATGTGCAGCAAAAGCGTTGCAAACTGTGTCGCGCGGCCTGTGTATGGCGGAATACATGTGGCACAAGCCTTCGAGCAGGGACCGACCGTCCAGACATTCTTATAGGCCTACCACAAAATGTTCAGATAACCCCAACATGTTCTAAGAACAGGAACAATGCTCTCAGGACGTAAGCCAGTTGTGTCAAGCAAGACAGTCTCAATCAGAAATGTTATAAAAAACGTCTCGTGCAGGCCACAAGAGGTTCTTAGAACATTCCCTGGTGGGCCCTCAGGCAAGCCAGGACGCTTCGCCACTGTTCGAACGCTGCGTGGCGCAAGCCTCGTGGTTCAGCCGGCACAGTGCCATGTGGCGCACCCAGAACCACAGGGCGCCCACAGGGCGACCCCCAGGCGGCCACCGGGCGAAACCCGGGCACGCCCACCCAGCGCGCGAGGCGCCCACGAGGCGCCCACGGGCGGCCACCAACCGGGCACCCGGCGAAAGCCTGGCACGCCCATCCAGTGACTCGGGGGCAAGTTTGGGGCGGCGCGCGCAGAGAAGGGGTGTGAGGGAGCGGGGAAGGCGTCTCAGAAGGCGGCTGCTTCCGAGAAGGCGGCGGCCTCACATCTTCAGACAAGGCCTGCGCCTTCTCAGACACCGCCTGGCGAGTCATGTGACCATGTGTGCCAGAGGGTAGGCAAAGAGAGGCGGCGGCACCGGCTGCTGTATGTGATCGGGGGAGAGTGGAGCATAGCACTCACACCATTTTCGAGTAGGAGATCGGCTACATAATTGATGTACCCCAGAATCGAGTTGGCCAGCGAATCTACGAACGGGTACGTAGCGTGCTCAGAGATTTACGAACATTCCATGTAGTTTGGTAGCTCCGCCGGAGAAATCACATGTTGGGTAACTCAATTCGGTAGACGATCCCCAACTCGAAGGATGCTCTTTACAGGGGGAAGGGGCGGGGTAGGGTGGACAGAGAAAGGGGATGGGAGGGTGAAGGAGATGGGAGCGGGGCAAGCTCTGCGCGCTCGCTCCATATCAAACACCATACCCCTCCCCACCCATCTCGTGCCCATTTCGCCGATTTCTCCCTGTCAGCTAAGGGAGGGTTAGAGCAAACCTGGAACCCCCAAAATAGGAGCTGTGTGCGTTGGAGGGGGAGGTGGTGGAGGAGGAAAAGGAATAGGAGGAGGAGGAGGAGGAGGAGGAGGAGGAGGAGGAGGGGGAGGAGGAGGAGGGAGGAGGAGGAGGAGAGGAGGGGAGGAGAGGAGGAGGGGAGGAGGAGGAGAGGAGGAGGAGGACGGAAGGAGGAGGGAGGAGGAGGAGGAGGAGGAGGAGGAGGAGGAGGAGGAGGGAGGGAGGAGGAGGAGGAGGAGGAGGAGGAGGAGGAGGAGGAGGAGGAGGAGGAGGGGAGGATGAGGAGGAGGAGGAGGAGGAGGAGGAGGAGGAGGAGGAGGAGGAGGAGAAGGAAAGAGGAGGAGGAGCAGGAGAAGAAGGAGGAGGAGGAGAAGGAGAGGAGAAAAGGGAGGAGGAGGAGGAGAAGAAGGACGAGGAGGAGGAGGAGGAGAGGAGGAGGAGGACCAGCAGCAGCAGCAGGAGGAGGAGGAGGAGGAAGAGGACCAGGATGAGGAGGAGAGGGAGTAGGAGGAGGAGGAGGAGGAAGAGGAGGAAGAGGAGGAGGAGGAGAAGGAGGAGGAGGCGGAGGAGGAGGAGGAGGAGAAGGAGGAGGAGGGAGGAGGAGGGAGAAGAGCGAGGAGGAGGGAGGAGGGCAACGTGCGACGAGCATTCGTGCCTCCAGGCTGTCAGGCTGTTAGGGGGAGCAAGAGGATGATGATGATGATGATGATGAGGAGGAGGAGGAGGAGGAGAATGAGGGAGAAGGAGGAAGAAGGAGGGATGGAAGGAAGGAAGGAAGGAAGGAAGGAAGGAAGGAAGGAAGGAAGGAAGGAGGGAGGGAGGGAGGGAGGGAGGGAGGGAGGAGGAGGAGGAAGAGGAGGAGGGTGGGAGGAGGGGCGACTGAGCCCATCATCCCCCCCTCTCACGCGGAAGATTAGGAAATATGGGAAACCCTTGACACCTGTGAGATCCTGGACCGTATCATCATCATGACCTCTTGCTCGTCTGAAGGAAATCTGCGTGAGCAAAAACTTTCGGAGGTCCGCGCAGACTTCTGGGATCGGCGCTGGGCCCCCAGCCCTGGCGAGTGGAGCGCGCCAGGGGCGGAGCCAGAGGCGCCACCGGAGAGTCCAATCTCCGTCCCAAGACAAGGAGAGTCTATAGTTTGGCAGTGTTTCCGTCTTCGGTTCCAGCAAGGTCGCCCCGCCCCTTCTGAATGTCGCCAGGCCGTCGTTGAGAGCACTCAGGCCACCGAGTGCCGCGGCCGCGGCGGCCTCTTGGTGCCCTCGCGCGGGCCCCATCAGTCCTGGCGGCCTTCTTGGAAGGAGCCAAGCTCGAGGAGGAGGAGGAGGAGGAGGAGGAGGAGGAGGAGGAGGAGGATGCCCAACCTAGTCATGGGTCCGCTGTGGACGCCTCCATCTGGCAAGGCTCGCCCACCCCTGCATCGTTGATCGCACGAATGTCGACCAGGTAGGCAGTGCCGGGGCGCAGCCCTTGGACGCAGAACGAGGTGGTCGCTGTGCACTCCGATACCGTCACGAAGTCGTCGCATCCGGGTGGCAAGATGGCTACAGAATACCCGCGAACGGGACAGCAGCCGGGATCCTCCAGGGGCGGACTCCAGTGGAGCGTCAGCGAGGTGCTGCCCACGCTTGAGAGGTGCGCGAGCTGCACCGGCCCTGGCGCCCCAGAAGTGGAGCACCTCAGCCTCACCTCGGCGACCTCTGCCCCGGATTCGAGGGCGCACACGTCCCAGGCCGCCAGGCGGCCGTGCAGGCTGGGGTCGCGGAGTGGCACCGCCCGGGCGCCCAGCAACGCGGTCTCCTCGTGGAAGAGGGCCGACCTGGCAGGTTCTGGAAACCCTGGACAAAAACATGCTGCCCTCGGCTACATGCAAGAGTGACCCTAGGCAAGAGTGATCCACTATCGCATCTCTGCCGTATCGCGCTCAGCGATCGGGGGGGCCCCGGTGAGCCCGCACGAAAGGATGATCTGGCGCAGGGGCACTCCTGCGCGCAGTCGCTGCCATCTCTCATGGGGGGACGCGGCGCATCTTCTGCCTCGCCTGGCCTCTGCTGGCCTTCCGCCGCCCTCCGCTGGCGGAGGCAGCCTCGCCTTCCTTCCGCCGCATCCCGTCGAGCAAGCGATGGTAACTCCTTCGACCCTCGAGGGCGAGGCCCTTCCCGGAACGCCTCACCCCCAAAGATCCGATGTCGTGTTTTTGTTTTTCAACGCGGGCCCCCCAGAAGTCCCGACCCACCCACCAGGACCGATTCCTTCATCCTGAATCGTTGTTTGATAGTCCCAGGGCTCGGCGAGGGCACCTACGGCCGAAAATTGTCCAAAAACCTCCGCCTTGATGTTTCAATGCGTTGGATCGCTGGGCCTGGAGCACCACAGGCACACGACGCAGTAGGTGTCGAGGCTGCTCACCCTCATGGAGAGCCTCTGGCCGAAGCGCACCAGCGCAGGCCCCTGGCCGCCCGATGCCTCCGCGGCGCGGGCGCCCGTCACCAGGTGCGAGCCGCCCTCGGTCTCGCGCGGGGCCTGGCTCGGCACCTCGGTGTCCGGCAGCGCCGAGGAGCCCGGGTGGATCGATGGTCGAGGGAAAGAAAACTACACAGGCAGCCTCCAGGTTTCGTAATAAGAAGGCGGAGGGGCTCACAACCCTCCTAGACGAGCAGCGCTAGATGCCCCCAGCAATGAACAGACACCTTTGCCCAGACCCCACTGGAACCCTCCAAGACAGCTCAAATCAGACCCCCCCACAAATGGCACCCCCCCCACACACACTTTATTACTGAACCTGGAATGCACTGTCGGAGGTCCGCGCGGATTTCTTGGATCTGCACAGGAGACCCCCCCCCCTCCCTGGCGCGCGGAGCGCTCCAGGGGCGGCGCTGGAGGCGCCAGCGCCGATGCAACGAGTCCGCGCGGACCCCCGCATGCTTCTGTCCATGCCGTTTTTCGCCCCTCGAGAAAGGAAGTACCGCACGGACTGGTACCTGAGCGTCGTTTGACCGATCCTTATCCGCACCTGCGCGGCCTAGGTCCCCCTGGCTTTATGTACCCCTCTGGATGGGGGTATGGGCTGTTCCCTTTGGGTTTCGATGGCCATATCCTCAACGGGGGTGGTGGGATGGTGGGGATCGGGATGGGGATGGGGATAAAGAGGCCTCCCAGATGGGGTTGGAGTGGATGGGTCGGAGGATCGCGCAGCAGTATCGATGTATCACCACTACATCGGCGCTATATCGGCGACATTGGCGACGCCTTTGCGACGTCGGGACGGAGAAAGACGGGCTCCGACATCGAGCCGCATCGCCGATGCACTGGCGATGCGGCGCGAATCCTCCGACCCCACCTACTTGGGCCCTGGGAGGTCTAGAGAAGAAGAAAAAACGCCCTAAACAGAACTTTAGGCGCTCCGCGCGGATTTCTTGGATCTGCGCTGGACCCGCCTCCCTGGCGGGCGGAACGCGCCAAGGGCGGCGCTGGAGGCGCCGCTGGGGGGGCCCCAGCGCGGATCCAAGAAATCCGCGCGGAGCGCCAGCAGTTTATATTTTTATGGCGCTTCTTCTTCTTCTTCGACTGCACTCGGGCCCCATCTGGGAGGCCTCGAGGGTACAGGAATCGGTTAATCGGCTACACGCAAGAGTGACCCTGGGTAAGAGTGACCTTTGGTGCGCAGCTTTTGGGGGGCGCGAGGGGGCCGAACCCAAGCGCGCAGGCCGCTGCCATCGCATCGCGATCAGTCATATGGGAACCCCAGTGTGCCCGCACCAGAGGTCACTCTGGCGGAAGGTCACTCTGACGTGCAGTCGAGTTGTAAGGGATGCTGAGTACCATGCCGCGGCCGCGGCCGGCACGCCGGAGCGCACCGTGAGTTGGTCCACGTCCACCACCAGGACCTGCGGCGGCTCCGCGCCCTCGGGGCCTGGGCCGCCGGGGTGCGCCGCCGCGGCCTCCCGGCGGCCCGCAGGAGCCCTGCCAGGACCCAAGTAGGAGATCGACTGCAGAACTGAGTGTACCCCCGTTCTGTTTCGTCGAATCTGCGAAACGTGCGTCTCCAATGCTCATGGATCTACGAGCATGATCACGTGAGATGCGGGTTGCTCAGATTCGACGGAAAAACGAGCAACAAGTCTGGCAATCGGACTCCAACTCGAAAGACGAGGCCAAGACCCAGACAACATCGGACCGGGACACATCGGGGATCTCTGCCCAGACATATCCGCGGCGTGAAAACGCATCACGACGGACTGCTTTTGGCCGTTGTCGGCCTCCAGGGGCCCTTGCCGGGCTCCGGGACCGTCAAAAATGGGTTCGGGGTGGAAGGCCGACCCTGGGGAAAGAGCCAGGACTTCCAGGGACCACGCGTTGAAAATATCAGGGCGCATGTCTGTGGCGGTTCTGGAGAATGCATCGGGCGCCTCGGCCGTTCCATAGCACCCAGGAACGCCCCGGAGCGATTCTGCCGCTGCGCCCTGGACCTCTCCCGTGGTGCGTTCTGACCAGAGCTTCGAGGCGAATCGAGCCGTGGCGACAAGGGGGCTCGCCAGCACGAGCAGCAGCATCTATCTGTACGGCTGGTTCGCATCGCGATGTCGCGGGCGTTTCTGACGCTGCGTGGATCGTTCAACCTTGAACGAGCGCGGCTCTCCGATACACCAGGGAGCTCTACCACAAGAAATCTTCCACAAGAAATCCAACCCTGGACCCCCAGGACGCCCATCGATTGTTCGCGTGGGAACGCAACCTTCTCCCTCGTAGAACCATCGACATTCGAGGAGCCTGCAGGGCACCCTGTAGGGGAACAGGCTATTTCTTGGCATCGGCTCTCCGATAGCGCGGATCGCTCGACATCGGCCGACTCTGGGCCACTGGCGGCGATCAAGCTTGCACACCCGCGCTGGCGCCGCCGCCGCGCCAACGCGCGGCGCGAAAACCTGCCGTACATGCTGGGATCGCAGCCGCGGCCACGCGGCGCAAAAGCCTGCCGCGCATGTTTCGATGCTCCTCAGAACGTGCGTTAGCGCCAACGTGTGCTTGCCCACTGAGGCCCTTCACTACGACGAAAGAGATGTGATGATCGACTGGTTGGGTTGAGCGGGGTAAACACACATTGGGCTACCACACGTCCTGAGGATCACCGAATCTTTCTCCTCCCCTGAGACCTTCCATGCTCAGCACCGCCACGAGCCGCCAGTACCCTCGCTGGCCCCGGCGGGCCGGCCAGTGTGCGGCGGTACTCCAGCCACTCGGCCGCCGACCGCGTGCACCAGCCCGCGCCCGCGGCCCGCGCGGGGCGGAGGCGCTCCACGGGCGGGTGCCCGCGGCCGTGCCCGCGGCCGCCGGGGAGCCAGGCGCCCGGACGTGGCGCCGGCCCCGCGGCCGCGGCGGGAGCCACGCCCAGGTGGGCTTTCCACGCCGGCGCTGGCGGCTCGGGACGCCAGGCAACGCCGAGTGGGAGGGGGAGGGGCACCTCGCTACCTCCTCGAGGAGAGGAAGACCCCTATCAGAACTCCCCAGATGCGCCCCCAGATCTCCTCACCCCCCCTCCTGGAGCCCTCAGGATCTCGCCCGGATCCTCCTCTATACCCCTGATCCCCTGGAGGATCTGGCGACCCCCACGCGGTGGTGAACCCCCCCCACACCCAGAGATCCACCGCACTGAACAAAATCAAAGAGACTTTTAAATGTTCGGCCTCTGGAGGCCCTCGCCAGGCCCAAGGACTGCCAAAAAGCGATGCGCAGGATGAAAACACCGGTCCTGCATTGAAGAAATCACGACGCCGGATCTCCTGGGCACCCCCTGGCATTGCCCGCAGATGGACGGAGCCCTCCCTGCGCCATCGGTGCTCCGCCTGCGGCGGCGCGGGGCCGCCCCCGTGCAGCGTCGCCTCCGGCGGACCTGCGCGGGCCGTCGGCGCCATGGCCCCGCCGCGCACGAGGCCTCCCCGCCCCCGCGGCCCGCATCCGGGGAGGAGCCGGACAGCGTGCGCAGGAACGGCTGATTGGGGACTCGCATCTGCCTCGGGGACTGCCAGAACGTGCTCCTGGCCCAGGGTGTCCCCGGCTTTTGGCGCCGCCCTGGAGGCTACTGGAGCCCTCTGGGCCTTTCACTGGGGTGTGGCCCAAGGGTGCACAGCAGCGGCGGCGGGAATCGCGAAAGCGAAAACAATACCCGCGGGCACCACCCCCGATGGGTGTGCACTGCGAGGGAGCGAGGCGAGCCACGGCGCCCGCACGGCGCGCAAACGAGCGCGGAGGCGGGCAGATGGGGGAGAGTCATGAATTTGTCATGACATTGACCACCACAGGTCTCGGCTCATTCCCCGGGACCGGTTTTTCATCCTTTCTTGTTGACGGCCCCGGGGCCCGGTAAGGGCCCCCGGAGGAAGAAACAAGCGAAGCACTCCGTGATGTTTAACTAATGACCCGAGGGGGCCTGGGGCCCTGCCACTCCGCTGCTCCAGCCAGCCTGCTCCGAGGCATGCCAGGACCTCTTCTCCACAAGACGTTCCGCGTAAGAGGGCTCCCCTGCGGCCACCTGGGCCATGCGGCATCCCCAGAGGAGCTGCGGCCACCCCGAGCCCTCGCCATCGCTCGGACGTTATTTCCCCATGTTTTTTTCCGGTCTCGTGCGTCATTTGTTCGCAAGATGGCCCAAAATGTTCCTCGATGGCCCTCGCCGAGAAAAAATACACACGTCCGAACGACACCAAGAGCCAGGGCCAACTCTGGCAGCACCCGGCTGTCGCGCCACTTCCGCCCTCCGACATGGCAGGGGTGGGGCTGGGCGGCGCGGACGGCGACCCTTCCACGACGGATGTCGGGCGCTGCCAGCCATGTGAGATGACGGCGAATTTGGATGCATCACGCTCTGGGGCGCTCTGTTCGCGTCCTGGAGCGCACTGAGGCGATTCATCTCCATGCTAGGCCTGCTGGCCTGTCTGAGATGTGGCCCTGGCCGAAGGTGGCATCGAGGCTCACGAGGTCCATGGGGCCCCAGGGGCCCCGGCGTGGCGCGAACAACAAGAAAGACAGGCAACCCTGGGCCAGGAAACCCCTGCCACCACCAGGCCTTGACAAACTCACCTGGGGCCACGATCTTGGTAGATAACGCCGCTCCCGCCGGAGGCAGTATCCGCCAAGGTCTGGGCCCAGAGAGAGCCTGCGGGGGCTCCCGTTTCTTGGGAGCTTGATGCGGTCCGCCTTTTCGGCGGCCAGGAGCACGCGCCCCAACGACCTCCAGAGCCCCACGAGGTGGCCAGGACATGGCAGCCTGCACACGTCAGAGGAGAAACATGGACCGCGGCCTCCGGGACCCCCCCTGCGTCCTCTCTGCACACAGTCCTGACAAGGTGCAAGCGCCACTGGGCACCGAACGCACCAGCCCGCTGGTCTCGCCAGGTCCAGAACGCCGCGAGAGTACACATGGCATCAGAGGTGGCAGGAACACCACGGGCGCGCGGAACAGAGCGCTCATGCGGGACACATGCAGGAGGGGGTGTGACGGAGCGGGCTCCTTGGCCACCGGGTCGGACCTCTGCATCTCTTTGATCTGGTCCGCCATCCCTGGCTTGCCTGGAGCTGTGGGGGGGTCCTGGCTGACCTGGGAAAAGAAAAAAAAGCCTCTTGCACGGCTTGCCGAGCCCAAACGGCCTCGGTCTGCAGTCGAGGAGAATGTGGCACGCAAAGGCGGAACTTTCATGCCCTCGCGAACCCCCCTTGGGCTCGATGGTGGCGATGTCGACGCTGATGATGGCGGTGATGGCAACGGGACAACGGAACGTCGTTCTCTGCAGCTGGCGCTGCATGCCGACCACGTGCGCCTCTCTCGTGGACGCGCCTGGATGGCGCCCTGCACAGGCAAAGAGCCATCCAGAACGCCAGGCCGGCATGAGCCGCGGAGGCGCCTGTCCTCCACGCTTGCTCGTGACTGCGCTGGAGCGCAGCAGCGGCGGGCGGCCTGCTGCCCACGCACAGAGGCAGGGGGCGCGAGGGCCTCGCGCCCTCGCGCGCCAGGGAGATGGCGTGAGCTCGCCAGACAAACTCCCTCACGTGAAACATCTGATGCGAACGCAAAGGGTACCCAGGGGAAGCGGAGCCTCCCTGAAAGAGCGAGCAATGAACACTGCGCGCGCGATGCGACTACGGCCCTCACCCATTGGCTTCTGCCTGGGCCCGTTCACGCCGCGGTGTTGAGACCCGCCGCCCGATTTGCCAGGATGGGGACCTTCTATCCACCACCTTGCCTGCAGCATGCAGTGGAGTGAGTGCCCCAAGGCCCACTCAAACGAAAGAGTTACAAGGATATTGAGAATGGAAGCAGTTACATCTATTGAATGTCCGACCACGAACTTGCAAGAACTTCTTGGACGCTCCTGGGCACTCCTGGAGTATCCCGTGGGCCTCTTGGATGGTGAGCTCGCCCAAAACGACCCCAAGGACCCCCGAGACGCGCCCAAGACGGTCCAAGAGAGCCCCGCGACGGCATATCAGTGCACCCAAACGGGCCAGCATGGCCTCAAAACGGTTTCAGGGGCCCCAACACGCCCCAAGAGATCTCCAGGAGGACCCATAAGAAGGCTTCCGGACGCAACACACATGTTTCCCCATAGGTGTTTCTGGGATCTCGCAGGCTCAGGCCTGTCAGAAAGCCCACGGCTGCCCAATGGGCCCCCGAGATCGCCTCAAGACAGCTTAAGAGGCCACCAAGAGGACCACAAGACGGAACAAGAGGCTCACAAGAGCGCACACGTGGTTCCCAAGAGGCAGAAGCCGAACTGACATTCCGAGCCCTCCCCCCAAAAATCGGACCCCCGAGACGACCAGCAAGCTCCCGAGTCGCCCAAGAAGCCCCCGGAGGCGCCAGGCGCCAGAGAGGCCCCCCCGAGGCACCCAACACGCCCCAAGAGACTCCGAAGAGGCCCGACACCTCAAGCACTTCCAATATGCTCCCGAGGGGATTCCGGAAAAATTGTGAGGCGCATCCAACATGCCTCTGACCCACGACCCTGCGCTACTCATTCCTCCTCTTTTTCTCCTCCTCCTCCTCCTCCTCCTACTACTACTACTACTACTACTACTACTCATACTCCTACTCCTACTCCTCTCCTTCTCTTCCTCCTTCCCTCCTCAGCCTTCTTCTGCGGAAGAATCAGATATCTTCCTTTTCCACTCCCTCATGCGAAAGAAGCGCGAAGGCATATGTAGTTCACTTTTGCTGTGAGAGCCCGCCTGGCAGATCCCTGCTACAGCCAGCCTTCAGTCCAGGCGGCGGCTGGGGGCACGCTGCGGAGGTGCCTCACCCCTCCCCGCCAAAGACTCTGCCCGAAGAAAGAAGTGCGGGTCAGAGCGCTCGCTCCCAGAAGGCGTCGCATTCCCAAGGGAGCAGGGAACGGGACGCCTCCTCGAGAACGAGCTGCACTCGGTAAGGATGCCTCGCACGGGCCAGGAACGAGAGGCGGTACGCTGCCGTCGGGCTCCCGCAGGCGGCAATTATCTTGCACCCCCTCTCGCTCGTGAAAACCCCGCAGCGTGCACAGTACGTGTATTGGCCTGCACGATGGAGCTCATGCCCCAAGGCCTCGCCGCGGAGAGCGGCTGGAATCTTGAACTCCTCCTCCTCCTCTGGGACGCTCCTCCTCCTCCTCATCCCCGCTCTCCCCCCGTGGGAAATGTTGGAATACGTATGGAGCGCTTCGCTGATACTGCAATACTGGCGTCCATCCCAAATCCCATCTGCATCGGAAAGAACAAAGAGGCATTCGTTCTCACCAAGGCGAGCTCCTGTTGGGATGGTGCCAACCACCTGCAACAAACAAGCTCACAAGAATAATCACGTGTCCCTCGCAATTTCCACACACAGCCAAGGATGGGCCAGGGGCGGAAGGACATCAGATCAGCCAGATCGCTATCCGACCACCATAAAATCCACAAGCGGTCCCCAACAAGCCAACATACCCAGTAAAAACGAAGTTACAAAGTCGCAATTGGAAAAAGGGTATGGGCATCGTCTTCCGGGGCCTGCAGCCGGTTACAGAAAGTGGTCAAGGATGCTGACGAAGGGAAAGCCCATGCGATGGTCCTGGGCCCTGCGCACGCAGAGCTAGCCCCTCCCATCCGCTCCCCCCTCCCCATTCCGCCCTTCCCTCCCCTCCTTCCCCCATTCCCCCTTCTCGCCTTCCTTTTCCCCCCCTTCCTTGTCCCCCTTCCCCCATCAAAGAAACGCAAAGAAGGCTAAGTAGCCAACAGCCGCCAAAAACGCGAAGGACACCCAGGGCCAAGAACGAGCCGCCAAAGTGGTCGGCGGACGGCGGCGGCGACGGCGGCGGCGACGGCGGCGGCCTCGCCACCGCCCCCCTCCGCCGCCACGACCAGTGGCGGGAGCGCGCGATCCATTGTCGTCGTCGCCGTGGTCGTCGTCGTCGTCGTGGTCGTCGTGGTCGTCGGGGTCGTCGTGGTCGTCGTGGTCGTGGTCGTCGTCATCATCGTCGTCGTCGTCGCCGTCGTCGCCGTCGTCGTCGACGCCGTCGTCGACGCCGTCGTCGTCGTCATCGTCGTCGGCGTCGTCATCGTGGTGGTCGTGGTCGTAGTCTTCGTCATCGTCTCTGTCGTTGTCGTCGTCGTCCTAGTCCTCGTCCTCGTCCTCGTCCTCGTCGTCTTCGTCGACGCTTTCGTCGTCGTCGGCGTCGTCACCGTCGACGACGTCGTCGTGAAACGCCGTCGTCGCCGCTGGCGCCGCCATGGCAGGAGGCGGCGCGGAGCGCGCGCCTGAACGAGGCGGCGAACGCGCGCGCCTGGAGCCACCAGTCGGGCCAGGAGGGCCCGCGTCCGCGCAGCGCGGGGCGGCCGCGGGGCGGCGCAGCGCCGCGGCCGGGGCCCTCGGCCGAGGCGGCCCCGCGCAGGCCTGGGGCCACAGGGCGGCGGGGCCGCCGACGGGGCGACGGTCGCTGCCAACGAGTGAGGGCGGCGGCGTTGTCGTCGTCGTAGTCGCTGCCAACTTCGTCGTCGTCGACGTGCCGTCGCTGAGGTCGGCGTCGGCAACGTCATCAGCAACGTCGTCGTGAAGCGTCGACGTCGTCGCCGTCGTCGTCGTAAATGTAGTCGCCGCCGTCAGCGTCGTCGGACGAGGCAGGAGCAGGAGGGTAAAAGGGAAGTGGTGCACGGTGCTGGCATTGTCACTGTGGGCCCCCCGATAGTGAACAAGTCACATGCAACGCCAGGCACTGGAAAGCAGTGGACAAAACGCACAACAACACACAACAACGCAAATCGTCCGCGTACGTCCCGAGGGCGAGCTGGGGCGGTGGGCCCACAGCGACAAGAGCAACCACGCATACTGACACACCGTGGCACCCCGACGGCAGGGGTCGCTTATCGCACCATTTGTTTGCGCGCTGTCCCACTCTTCACTGTGCCTTGAGGTATACTTGCAACGTCAAACCGGTCCACGCTGCCGATCTGCAACTCAATGCAACCACGTGGATGCAACATGAAGTCGAATTTCCTCTCGCCTGACTCACGAAGCGGGGCTATGCACGTGGCGGGCCCCCCTGCAACGACTTTTTGCCCTACCCGTCTGCTGCCTGGGAAGACGCTCTCGAAAGTAACGGCGGCACCTCGCCGAACATCACATCGCTACCTCTCGTTCGTTCTGAACGGAGCTGACGTGGCCGTAGACTTCACGACGACCGCGGCCCTCATGCTGCATCACGCTTGGAGCGCAAACTGGAAAAGGAATGATGACGGATTCGGTGCGGATGAGGAACTTGGCGCGCAGACACCCATTGCATTATCGCACATGCAACGTTAATGCCCCTGCTCCGGTGCCCCTCCCAGGGCAACCTAAGACCCCAATAAAAGTTCCCCACCGAAGTAAATGTCTTGGGCCGAATGCAGGATCGAATGGCCACCGCACAGCGCAAACCAATGGCATTCGCCAAACAACAAATCGCTGAAATGGGGAAAGACATCCAGCACCGTGCCGCGAGGCACGAGTTGGAGTGTCCTCATGTGCTCTGTTGTCTGTAGTCCCCAGCCCCAAGAGTTAAATAATTAAGGGGCCTCGACCCCAAGCTGCTTCCAGCGTGCCTCCCAAGCCCAGGCGCGTCTTCTCGGGTAATTGTTGAGGCCCAAGGAGGCCCCAAAACGGGCCACGAGGGCCCCAGTAGGCTGGCAGGCCCCTCAGACAGTCCGAAAGGGCTCCGAGTCGCCAAAACATCACTCAAAGACGTCGTGCTAGATGGCCTCCAGACGGCCCAAGACGCCTCGAAGACGCCCCAAGAGGCGTTCCAAGAGCACTCCCGACAGGGTCCCGAGAAGAATGAATCATAGATTTCCCGTTAGATTTTGAAAGGTCTTGGCGTTCTCGCTGATTCGGTCTTGCGACGCTCCAAGGCGTCCAAAGAGTCCCCACAGATCGCTCCAAGACTGCCCGAGAGGTCCCCAAGAGGGCCCTACCACGCGACGGCCCAAGAAGGCTCCTGAGACCGCTAGCATGCCCCCAAGAAGCCCCAAGAGGCAGCCAAGCGCCCCAGACCGGCCCCCAGGAGGATAAAAACTGCGTCC